CACCCTCCAACCATCTTCCTGCTTCAGCCTCTAGAGTAGCTGAGACTGCAGGCACACACCACCACATCCAGCTTATAAAATATATGTACAACAAAAATTTAGAAAATCCAACAATCTATAAAGAAGGAAATGAAAAATATCCATTAATTAATAAACCAAGATAACTGCTTTTGCCTCTTTGGTATACTTCCTTTCATGTATCATACACTATTAAGTCTCAAACTTGGAAAAAACACACTTTGATGTATAGGCTCAGAGACTAAGGTTGGCAGTTAATATGTGAAAGCATTTAAAAGTGGCCCCAAATGAACTTCTTTCGAGTTTAAGGCGCAGAAACACTAATGATACATACCAGCCAAGAACCAGTGATGATTAAGGCGCGGTTTCCACCAGACGGAAAAAAACGTTCCTGCACAGGCTGTACGAACTTTGCGTAGACTCCGCCTCTGTTCCTCTGGTTTTCCATCCTTGCATGAAGAAGAGAACTAGGGGAAAACAAATTTAAGTGTTTAAAGTATAAGACCATAAACAGGCCCCTGACTCTGAAATAATTTTGACTTAAAAAAATTTGTGACAAAAAAACAAAATTTACCTTCTTAACTATATTTGTTTATTTATTTTATTTTCATTATAATTCTTTTCAGAGAGGGTCTCACTCTGTCACCTAGGCTGCAGTGCAGTGGCATGATCATGGGTCACTGCAGCCTCGACCTCCCAGGCTCAAGTGATTCTCCAGCCTCAGCCTCCTGAGATGCTGGGACTGTACTCACGTGCTACCACGCCCCGCTAATTTTTGTACTTTTTGTAGCGATAGGGTTTCACCATATCCCAGGCTTTGACCATTTTTAAGCGTACAGCTTATTAGTGTTAAGTACAGTCACATTGTTATCCCACCAATCTCTAGAACTTTTTCTGCAAAACTGAAACTCTACAGCTATTAAACAATAACACTTGATCTCACCCTCCCTCCAGTCCCTGGTAACTTCCAGTTTACTTTCTGTTTGAATGAATCTGAGACTCCAGATACCTCATCTATGTGAAATCAGACAATATTTGTCTTTTTGTGGCTGGTTTATCTCACTTAGCGTAATGTCCTCAAGGTTCATCTATTTAACATATGTCGTAATTTCCTTCCTTTTCAAAGTGGAATACATTCCATTACGTGGAGGCACCACATTCTGTTATCCATCACACACTGATAGGCACCTGGGTTGCGTCCACCTCTTGGCTACTGTGAACAGCATTGTTATGAACACGGGTGTGCATGTATCTCTCTCAGATCCTGCTTTCAATTATTTTGTGGATATACCTAGAAGTGGGATTGTTGGCCGGGCATAGTGGCTCATGCCTGTAATCCAAGCACTTTGGAGGCCAAGCTGGGCGGATCACCTAAGGTCGGGAGTTCAAGACCAGCCTGACCAACATGGTGAAACGCCATCTTAAAAAAAAATAAAAATAAAAATAAAAAATAAAAATAAAAATAGAAGTGGGATTGTTTAATCATATGGTAATCCTTTTTAAAATTTTTTGAAGCATCACCATGCTATTTTGCATAGTGGCTGAACCATTTTATATATTCCATCCGCAATGCACAAAGGTTTCTTTACCAATGCTTGTTATTTTCTATTGTGTTTTGTTTTTGATAATAGCCATCCTAAAGGGTGTGAAGTGTTATCTCGCATTGGTTTTGATTTCTCTTCCCCTAATGATTAGTGATGATGAGCATTCTTTTACATGTTTATCAGCCATTTGTATATCCTCTTTGGAAAAAATGTCTACTCAAAATGTTTTGCCCTTTGTTTTTTTTGAGACAGAGTCTTGCTCTGTCACCAGGCTGGAGTACAGTGCCGCGATCTTGGCTTACTGCAACCTCCGCCTCCCAGGTTGAAGCAATTCTGCCTCAGCCTCCCAAATAGCTGAGACTAAAGGCACACACCACCATGCCCAGCTAATTTTCGTATTTTTAGTAGAAATGAGGTTTCACCATGTTGGCCAGGATGGTCTCAATCTCTTGACCTCATGATCCACCCACCTCGGCCTCCCAAAGTGCTGGGATTACAGGTGTGAGCCACTGCACCCGGCCCTGTTGCTACTTTTTTAAAACCTAAAAACACAAAGAGGCATGGTTTATGTGCCTGTATTCAGGCACATAAATGAAATCAGTTCTAAATGGAACTGATTTAGATCATAAGGCTACTGATTTCGTTTGTCTAATTTAACGGAACACCTAATATACTACAACTAGAAAATGCTTTATCATCATCATTAGAAATAAGACTAATATTGACCATCAATTCCCTCATCAGTTTATCAGACCTGGCAACTGTGTGTATGTTAACAGCTTAATCTGACCTCATGCTGGTCTGAGAGAGGTGTTGTAAGGAAAAAGCTTAAGGAACTGTCAGGCCGTCAGTCAACACACCATAGCAACTGTGTGCAGTGTATTTATAGCTTCAGAACAAGACAGGACTTTTTCATCATACATTTCCAGATCTGCTGTGACTCTGATTCAAAGCTAACAAACGTTTCAGCACATGCTAACATTTGAATGATCAGGCCTGCCCCACCTAGACTAGATTACAGAGGATCTACATGATGTAACCCACCCACACATTTCCTTCTGGGCAAAGGTTGCTTTTTTTTTTTTTTCTTTCTTCTATTTTCCTTTCAAAAGTAAAAGTTCCTAGAAAAAGCAAAACAGGACTATAATTCATATTAACTTGCTAATGATATTACAGGCTCACTTCCTTTTCCAGTAAGGTGAAATAAGAAGACATCTTTTTTTTTTTTTTTTTTTTTTTGAGTCAGAGTTTCGTTCTTGTTGCCCAGGCTGGAGTGCAGTGGTGAGATCTTGACTCATTGTAACCTCCGACTCCCAGGTTCAAGTGGTTCTCCTGCCTCAGCCTCCGGAGTAGATGGGATTACAGGTGCTGGCCACCACATCCAGCTACTTTTTATAATTTTGGGAGAGATGGGGTTTCACCATGTTGGCCAGGCTGGTCTAGAACTCATGACCTCAGGTGATCCACCCTCCTCGGTCTCCCAAAGGGCTGGGATTACAGGCGTGATCCACCGCCCCGGCCTGTGCTGAGGAGTGGAAAAAAATTGCCTCTGAAGGGCCCCAACTTTCCCTAAAAGTAAAATCTGCTCAAAATTAAGCTGAACCTTGATTACTTGGAACTGTCTGTCGTTGTCTTGCTTCGTTTAAACGTGAGCAAACTGCCCCAAGTGACATATCGTAGCCCCTAATTCTCCAAATTGGCTATCTTCTTCAGACAGTCTTGTATTTGGAACGATGAGCTATTATGTAATTTCATACTGCAGGCTCTGACTCACTTAATATCCTCCCCGTAGCAGATGGTGGTGTCTTCAGTCAGAAGTTCACAAGCAAATCCTATATTTTCAGCAGTTTCTACAATAGAATAAAATTAAGGCAAATGTTATTCCTGCTGTTTTTATTTTGTTTTTTGAGACAGCATCTCACTCCCATTGCCTAGGCTGAAGTGCAGTGGCACGATTTCTGCTCACTGCAGCCTCAACCTGCGGGGCTCAAGTCATCTTCCCATCTCAGCGCTCCCCCAGGCCCCAAGGACCTGGGAATACACACTTGCTACCAAGCCTGGTTAACTTTTGTATTTGTTCTTCTCTTTTCTTTCTTTTTCTTTTTCTTTTTTTTTAGGCGGAGTCTTGCCCTGTTGCCCAGGCTGGAGTGCAATGACGTGATCTCAGCTTACTGCAACCTCCGCCTTCTGGGTTCAAGCGATTCTCCTGCCTCAACCTCCTGAGTAGTTGGGATTACAGGCGACTGCCACCACACCCAGCTAACTTTTTGTATCTTTAGTAGAGATGAGGTTTTACCAGGTTGGCCAGGCTGGAACTTTTGTATTTTTTCTAGAGACGGGGTTTTGTCATGTTTGCCAGGCTCATTCTTACTGTTGAACTGAATAATTAATTTTACCTAGTAATGATGTTTTTTAGTGCATGAACATAACCAGATTCACACAAATATGATGTTTTCCTATAGCAATCCATAGGAATCATATGCAGAAAAAAATCCTTTTCTCTATAATAAAACAAGTGAAAGTCAAAGTCTAATTTGAAATGTTTTCAATTAAACTATGTGCTATATTGTCAAACATACAAACTGCTTATTTAATAAACCAATGTTCATTAAATTACTAAACACTGTTAGTTCATAGTTTAATTACTCGATTATTGGTGGGGGGTAGGGGAGAGAGGTAAAGATAATTTCCACCAACCCTTACATGAAGATTTTTTCCCCTTGTTTTTGAGACAGAGTTTTGCTCTGTCACCCAGGCTGGAGTGTAGTGGCACGATCTTGACACACTGCAACCTCTGCCTTCCAGGTTAAAGCGATTCTCCTGCCTCAGCCTCCTGAGTAGCTGGGATTACAGGCACACGCCACCACATCTAACTAATGTTTGTATTTTTAGTAGAGACAGAGTTTCATCATGTTGGTCTTGATCTCCTGACCTCATGATCTGCCCACCTCGGCCTTCTAAAGTGCTTGGATTACAGGGGTGAACCACTGCACCCGGTGATTTTTATTTTTCCTTTTTAGATTACCACCCAATTTGGCATTTATTTAAGGTTAGGGCTGTGCTTCTCTTAACTTCACAGAGTGTGTAACCCAGTGACGATTTTAGAGCAAGAGACGTTATTTGACTTCTTGTGAAAGGCTTGCCAAGTAAAGCATCAATACCAAACAAGTGCTTGTTGAGTTCTAAAGTTAAACATTAAAATCGTTCTTTCTGTAAGTATGCAATTTTATTGCCAAGCAATAAAATGGGCAAGAAAACAAAAGTTATTATTCAGCACTTTGTATTGTTCTACTCTGTGCCCACCAAATGTCAAAGCACTGGAAGGACAGAGGGACGAGGGGGATGGCCCTTTCAGGACAGGAGCCCACGTCTGGCTGGAGAGATAAGACCAATCATAATCAGCAAAACATGGCCAGGAGCTCAATTATAAAAAAGAAACTGCTACTGAGGGGGATCAGGAAAGGATGCAGAAGGGTGTGTTGGAATAACAGAGGAGGGTTTCTCAGAAAAAGCATCTTCCGTCCAAGGAAACAGTGTTTGTACAGGATGAAAAGTCTGAGGAGGTCATCTTGGGCACAGGAAACGGCAGCTATAAACATTTATGAATTAACAGATATGCTTCCCTGAACAATGAATTACCCTTTTTGTCTCCAGTAAGAACCCAAATCTTAATGTCAGCTTTTGCAAGTTTTGAAATGGTCTCTGGAACTCCATCCTGTAGCTTGTCTTCAATAGCTGTAGCTCCCAGAAGCTAGAATGAACATTTAAAAGAAAAAGGAATTAACAAATAAACCAAAAGTTTTCTGTAATTACAGTTTGCCAATCTGTAAAAAGAAGGACTAATTATACATCCTGGTGCTGCTCTCCTGGGGCCAATGGCCAGTGTTGATTGACAGGGAAGGCTGCCATGTTTCACATTTACTGCAAACTAACACAGCTGAAAACTTTCTCCCTAAAGAATGAACTATTTAATGTACTGAGACAAAAATGCAAGTACAAAGTCAAGGATGTTAGAAGTAGACTTTTCTTGTATATTTGTGGCTTTACACTAACATAAACCAGTTGCAATACTAGCTATTTGTTGAACATTTCTCGAACTAGGTATGAAATCTGGAAAACTTTTAGAAACACCATATTTTTCTTATTTCAAGATTTGGTAGAATATGAATTGTCTCAGTAATTCTTTCAATGTAGTAAGTATTAGATACAGGTTTGTTATTGTTTAAAAATTATAATACATTTTAATAAGTGATATAAAAATGATGGAATTGAATTAGAACTTCTCCTAATGTGTTTTGTCTTTTGGTTTCTCATAATGGTAACTTCTGTTCTGCTTCTATTTGCTCAACAAAAGAAAGAACCTTCTTCCATTGTGCCAGTGTCAAATGCTGAAGTTGCAATTATCTCTTAAGCATGAGATCAAATATTCAATAAAATTTAATAAAAAATTCAATTCTGCTTAGACTATCAAAAAAAAGTTATTAAGGCTAAAACTCACAATTAAGTCTTTTTCAATCTCCTCATATACTTTATCCAGAGCTTCGTCTCGGTTGGTCGAGGCCACACTGGCAGCCATAAACTTTTTATTCCATTCTGCAAATTCTTTTTCTTCAATTTCTTTATAGCAAAGGCATAGGGTTCTAAGAGTTTCATTTGCAAA